CTTCAACGAAAAAAAAGACAGTTATTTAAAGCTCTGGATACGGCTGTGATAACCAATAGTGTAACGAATTTTTTTACATACGTTTGACTTGTTTGAATATATTATTTTAAAACAAGTGGATTGTGTGCTGTCCATTTATTGTTGAAATTTATCGCCAACAAATCACAGACATCTATTGTAAAGATTCACGGCCCTATAAAAACCTGGCAGTAAACAATGTGTATATTTAGAACAGTGTCTCCAATATCTTATTATTGTTGATTATACTTTTAGAAGCAGCTACAGAAAAAAAAAAAAAGACGGCTACAAATATTTTACTGAAACTTTTAGAATAGTAATGAATGCAGTATTGAGTATGTCGTAGGGTAGTTTTAAAATTAATCCAAGCGCCTTAGTTTTTTTCGTTCTGAAGCATTTCTTCATGTTCTTTACTTTACGCCATTGAAAAAATCCAGTGTTTTACTAATGCACATTAATTTGTGGTGTGTGGTGTTGATTAGCTGCATTCCCTCCAGACTATCACTTAAAAATTAGGGATCACCTTCGAGTAGCTTTGCGCGTAATTCAACACACAAATATCTAATGATCGTTTGTTAACCACTCTAGATTTTTGTATCTCGCTTATATATATATCTCTTAAATCCAACTTTTTTCTACTAACAGACATGTTAAAACTGTGTTAAGAATAACACTATCGCAAGCTTTAACTCACGTTATTAATTTTTGATGAAAATTTGTTTAGACGGCAGACGTACTGAGGGTGTAAACTGACGTGTTTTCGGAGAGAAAATGTGTTATCTTTTAAAAGTTACCATTTAAACGCCGAAAGCTCGTGGAGCATTAGAAACTAATAGGCCTAATTTTTTTTGATAAAAATCACTGGAGGTATTTTTTTAGATCGATATAAAATGCTATTTATACATGCCTCTGATTGTGAATCCGCAAGGAACAGATTTAATCCGTTTAGTTTGTCCATTGTGGATTCAAAATTAGAGGCATGTAAAAATAACATTTCAGATCTATCTTTTAAAGTAGCATCTGCAGTTTTTAGGTTTAATGTTATAATTTAGTAACTGTTTTCTCGACAGACCTTTAAGAATATGGAGGCGGCTTTAATGATTAGTGATAGAAACGTTGTACATTTGTAATAAAGTTTATTTTACCATTCATTAAAGCCATTTCTATTTTATATTGCTGTAAAGTTTGTTAGACTTGTAGTAAAGTTAAATTTGGCGTGAAATCTCTTCAGTGGATTGATAGTGATAATCAACGATATGTCTATAACGAGGCGTAGTGGAGTGATTGGTTTGACATTAAAAAAGAAATTAATATATTATTACGTCTTCGTTTGTT